CAGCCCTACAGAATGCTGCAGGTCTTTGTGCCATGCTGTATGTAGCCATGCCAATTGCTATGGTCTCTGACATGACCAAAGGAGGGGCTTACCTTATTTCATGCTATCTTCTCAAGTTGTGTTATGGGGAAAGTGTATTTCTAGTTGAAATACCGGTTTATCATAATCCAGATGTACTGGGCAAGTAAGTGTGTGAAGAATTATAAGAGAAGACAAAATCCAGAGGTTGATTTGCTGTGATTATTTGTTGAAATTTGTTGGTGTTGACCTCTGTGAGCAGACAGGGTTATTTTGCTCATCTGTAACCTGCTTAAAAAAAAAGAAATGATTAAAAAAGAAAAAAAGGAATGTAGGAAGGACTTGAGTAAATGAAAAATTGATCTGAAATTTGCAGTTTATGTATCCTTGAAAAATATTTTTTTTCCTACTCAGAAGTGGGTTGTTGTTGTCATTATTTTCTCTGCAATTGCAGTGGGATAGCTGCAGGCTGGCGCGTGCAGCTCAGGCAGTGTGCTGCAGCACTCCTCATAAATGCAGGGCTCAGCAGTGATAGCATCTCTATGAGCCTCATAAAAGTGCTCGTGAGTGACAGATTAGGTGCAAGTGTGAGAGCTGTGCAGTGGTGACTGCAGAACTTTCTCCCTGGAGCGAGCAGATGTTCCTGCCATTGCCTTTGTGCTATCAGCACTGTCCAAATCCTCTTCATAACTGCTGATTTTTCTCCTGTCCCTGTTAATATAGGGAACGGTGTAGGCATTGGTGAAAGAGTTTCTGGGACAGAGGTACATTTCCTCAGGGACTTTGAGAAAGCTCCTGCAAGGTGAGCCTGCTTCTTCCTCTGGCTGCTTATGCCAGTGTCTCCTCCAGTATTTACTCTAACATTTGTAAAAACAGATAGCTCTTCTGGAGAGCAAGGCCCTGCTGAACTGGAGGCAGAGAAAACCTGAATAAACAAACATGTGCCGCAGATTAGTGAGAACATCTGTAGTTTTTGTTTTGTTTTGAGAATGCATACCACATAGCTTTTCATTTCTTACGATTTTCTTGTTTCTCTCTTTCTTTCTCTGTTTCCTTCTTGTTTTTAAATATATTGCTAATAAAGATTGGAGGTAGAAAGCACAGCTGGACTCTGCATGACATGCCACTGTTTAATTTCTAGCTCGGGGGATGGGAAGAAGAGTAGTTTTATTGTATCCTAGAAGAGAATAAAGCCACATGCAAATTCCAGCCATGGACATCTGTTTCCTCTTTATGTGAAAGAATTCTCATATTTTGCAGGGAATCCCAGTTTTGAAGGGGCTAATGAGGTTTTTTTTTTTCTTCTTTTCATTCCTTCCCCTTCACCCTCAACTTTCTTTTCATTGCCCATCCTTCAGCATGCTCTCCCTGCTCTCTGGCTGCTGTGTTTCCTAGCAGGCGATGTCAGCTTGCAGTTTAGCATCAGCTATTGAATGGGAGAATTCTAAATTCTATAAAATGTTGTGGTTTAGTTACAAAGAGTATTACCACTACCAGTTGTCTGTATTGATGCATTTCTATGGTACTATCTTTAAGTTCCCTCTTAAATTTGTCGGATTTTATTAAGCAGTATTTAGTGGGATTTCTTTTGCTCTATGATATCTTAAATGCTTGCAGGCAGGTTGATATTTTTTTTAGAAGTGGAGATCTGTGTATCTGTTGCTCTGGCTGTGACATGTAAATCTTTCTAGAAGTAACTTACTAAAAAATAATCTTAGAAAACCATTTGTATCAGAGGAATTAAGCGAATCTATAAAAATAAGAATCTGCAACATTAATTACATTAAGTTAGCTATTGAGTGCTAAGGAACACCAGGACCGGAGTAACTGACAATTTCACTAACCTATAAAACACTTCAGAAGAATGATTTACAGCTGTTTGGGAGCTTGAAGCATTTTTATTTTTTCTGGTGTAAGATTTGACTCTGCTGAACAAACAGAGAGGTTATATAACATTAGGCCAGACATGAGAACTGGTACTCTCTTGTCTATTTTATATTAGCGTCGAATCACATGTTGGTGGAACTCGCCAGGGTTTCATATTTGTTGGCAGAAAGCTACCCACATGTGTGGACCACATTTTTATTGTTGTCTTAGCCTATTTCAGGCATAAATATCGCTGCCTGGCAGGGTGTGATTCTGTTCATTGCTGAAGAGCTTTTCTTTTAAAAAGCAGAATGTGAAAAGGAATCAAATGACAAATGCTGTAGATTCAAATTAAGAGGTGTCTCAAAATGAGATTTTATCACGTCCGTCATGGTAGAGGAGTAGCTGAAAGGCATCCAAAGGCTTTTTCATAGTTGGGTTAGTTACCCTTGTGGAGCTGTTTCTTTTTGCATACATTAATGTTGCTTCTGGGTGTGGGCTGTTTAGTCTGGGCTTCTAAGGGAAACGAGCCTTATGCAAACAGGGTGTATGCTCACCCAAACACCCTGCGCTGCACGGCCCGTGGCTGCTTCCTGCCCAGTAGGATGCGTTGGCCACAGAAACGTGGCCAAGAGGCACGTGAATTTCAGTTCCTTTGGGTTTCTTGAAGTTAGGCGTGTGAGGGCAGAACAGAGGTGATGGTGGAGTTTGGGAGAAGGCTTGTAATGTGAACTGTTCAGTGATGTGCTGGAATAGATGAGAGAGAAACGATGGAGGTCCCAGCCCCAGGAAGTTCACTGAACCCAGCTTGTGAACTATTTGGCTTCAGAGAATCTGATGACAAAAACAATGCTGCAGGAAGCCAGGCTCCCTTTAGTTCCATTTCCCCATGAAATTGCTTGTGTGGGTTTTGTTGTTGAGATGCTGTCAAACAAGCTGGAATAGAGACTTTGACCCCCAAGAAATGCAGAACGTCTCTTGCTAGGATCTTGATGGAGGCGGGGGTCTGTCTTTGCTTGTGGTGTTTCTTTGGTTGCTTATTTTTGCAAGTTTTCAAATTCTGCTGAAGTGTGATCTGTGATGTTTAGGTGCTTATCTTTCAGGCAGCTTAGGATGGAGCCCTGTGGCTGTCTGGATCCCACTGACCTGCCTCTGAAACCTTCCCAGGCGTTCTGGAAGCCTGAATGTCACAGCCACTTATGGGGAAGGGGGGAACTGGTAATTCTTGTCCAGGTCTGACTCCCCCTGACCGGGACATGGAAGGCAAGCGCCATTAACACCGAAAATCAAACAGCAGTCGTGAAGAACTTCCCTTTGGTTGGAATGCTTCTGGCTAATGATGGAGATAAAAGAGGGCTTCCTGTCAAAAGCTTCCCTTGTCTTATTAATAGCTGCGTAATTTTACCACTCATTCAAAGCAAAACTTTGAGACAGCATTTGAAAGCTTGTTTTGTTTGGAGTGCAGCTGGATATAGAGCGTTTCCTTTTCTCTTCTTTAACAAATTTGAAGCAAATGTAGTGGGTATTGTTTCTCTTTTTTCTATTTTTTGGCCTATGTAACAGAGTATTCTCTTGCTTTTCATTTTACATTGCAAAGAAATCGTGCCATTTAACTCAAATTCAACAATGATGTAGCAGCATGTGGATATACATACATCTTCTCATAAATATATTACCACACATTACTGTCAAATAGCTGGACTTTTTCACCCAGTACTAAAAATGAAATTTAATTGCTCTAGTTGAGTTTCAAGGCTCTGATAAATAAGAACCGTGCCTGACCTTTCTTGTGGGGCTTTGGGATGCCACCAGGGATACTGCTCATTGTTCAAGATGACAAACTTCCTCTGAGATTTCAGTTTGTCAGCTCAATGTACAGCAATGACATTGATTTCTTCTCACTGCCATTTCCTGCCTGAATAGATAACAAATTTCTGTGGCAGGTGTCTGTCAAGCTTAGTTTTGCCTGGCAGATTAACTTAATAGACTCATTTATTAATCATTAGTTGCAACACGGGGAAGGAGACAGTACTCTTCAACTCTTGTGATGTTGAATAGATGTACTGTTTCGGATTCCTTTGTGTAGCCTGAATTCAGATTTAATAAGCTGCTCATATCTCTGCAGTGAATGTTTTTAACCTCATATTGCTGATGTTAAAAATACCATCAGTTATGTATTAACTGAGTCTGATCCATTTTGACTGTCTGCTACTTTTCATGGCAAAAGGTGCTTAAATGCCTTCTGAGACAAGCAAAATGGTGCAGAAAAAAAAAAATAATAAAAAATAAAAATTAAAAAAAAAAAGGAGGAAGCTAATTCAACATGCATCATTTCTGGGGAAGGGGGAGATGTGGAGGCACCTCCCAGAGCCTGCAGAGCTGAGGGAGCAGTATGTTTATTTTTTACCTCTGTGTTGAGTTAGTCCCAAAGCATTTATTGGGGCAAGAGCTGTAAATGCACAGGCACTGCAGAAGGAATGAGGTAGAGATGCAAGCTGTTGGGCAGAAGAGCCTTTTATTACAGCTGATGAGAAGTGAAACAGGGAGCTTTCCTCTTGGGTCTTGGTTGGGTTTGGTAGCTCTTCATTACCTGCTTGGAATTCTCAAGAGAGCTTGTTAATGTGAGCTCAGTGAGAGATGCTCCAAAAAGTTTCTCTCTGCAGCTGGTGCCCGACCTGCCAAGCTCTGGGCAGCTGGGCAGAGCATTACTGTGTGCAGCGCCGTGTGAGTGCACATTACTGAAGGTGTCTTTCTGACAGGCTGTGTTCCTGGCCTTGGCAGCACGTTGCTTGAGGCATCCTTACGGCTTTCTTGGCGGAGCATCAAACCGAGAATGTCCCTGCACTGGATCACACTGCTTACTGCTCTTCTAGGCCACCCTGGTTACAATGCATTAACCTCTCAGCAGGGAACGTGATAAACAAAGTAGAGCTGCTTTAGTGAAAGTGGTCGCTTAATGGCAGAGTGCATAAAGTATCCTGAAAGATTTGTAAATGTAATAAGCTGCAGTTCACCAAGTGAACAATAACTGTTACTAATTTGGCTGACTGAGGAACATGCCAACCTAATTTGCTTTTGTAACATTATGTTGTTTTTCTCTATTCCCGCCTCACCAGATTCCCTTCTCTCTGGTACAGTTTCCCCTCTGGGAGTTCTTAAAGGTAAGTCCTCTTTAGTTATAGAAATGTAAGTTATACAGCTCACAAAGGCTTTCCGTGGTAACGTGTCTAACTTGATTATCACAATTATGGGCACATCCAAGGATCAATAAGTGGGTACTGACCTACCTGTGCATGTGAAGATCATTTGCTTAGATATTTGAAAAGCAACAGGGAGCATCTCACCATGGATATGTGGCATGCAGTCTAAATTCTAGTCCCCAGCATTCCAGATATCTTATCTGCTGCTCTGACTGTTTTTATTGATTGAAATAGAGTGGGAACCATGTGTGTTGTGTGATTTATTTTATTCTGGTTTATTTTTTATTTTATTTTAACTTTTTTAGCATTTTGCTCATTGAGGTAACAGGAAATTGCAAATGATACAGAGAAGGCTGATTGAGCCTGTTTTTGTGAACAGGGAGAGACTCAGTACTTTGCTGACGTGCTGTTTTGATTGGCTGTGTGTACGTTATTTCAGAGGTCATTTAAAGAAGGTATCGGTTGGATGATAGTTTAATAGTGCAGTCTTTCAGAATGATGCACTCACTGTTCTCCCCCCAGCTGGTTGCTTTGTTTATCATGGACAGAGTCATGGTCTATTTTTCTGAGCACAGAGCTGAATTTGAAGTGTAGTTTCTCCACCCCTCTGTTTTTCCTTTAAATGGTAATGATGGTATGGTCCTCACTGCAGGAGGATGAAGCAGAGATGGGGTTTTTTAGGTGCTTTGAGATCCTGGATTGGAAGCATAGAAAACTATTGCAGATTGTGAAAATCAGTGTAGCAAAATATATCATTTATAAGAGGGGAACTGAAAAGAGAGATGTTCTTCTTGTTAAGGGTACTGAACTTCTGAGAGAGGTTGGCACTGAGACCCAAACTGGGAAGAAGTTCTGGGAAGGATGGGAGCCGGTGATGATGTTCCTTGCCCCTTGGTGCTTCTATTTAGGAAGGAGGGCTTGTGTTCTCAGTGTGTGTGTGCTTATTTGGGAGCTCCTGCTTCGTGCTAATAGCTTGGGTCATTCCTGGGACAAAGTCCACAGTGGAAACATTTGCATATAGAAGTTTCAGGGAAGCAGATGTGGTGAGGACTCTACGAATAGGAGGAGCACAAAAGACATCAAGACCTTTCCTGCAGCTGGCTCTGCAGGTGCTTGGTGAGCTCTGGGCATTGCTCCCTGATGCAGGGCAGCTCTGGCTGCCTTATTAGGAATCTGTTTCTCAGCTAGTGTCTCAAAATCACTTTCTGTAAGCTCCTTGCAGCGCTGCTGGCATGAGCTGCTAATGGTTAGTGAAGTTGGGAGCAAGAGGCGGCAGTGCTTAGAGAGAAAAAGTGCAGTGTTCTTTCCCAAACCACATAAAACAGCGGCATCATGCATTTGTTTTCAGAATGCAGAGTTGTTTTAATAAATGTCCACATAGCTGTAGCAGTAAATGTATTGTTTAAATGTCTGCTTTGAAGGAGACAGTTTGAAAACAGCTAGCTACCAAAGTGAGTCACTTAAATGGGAGACATCATGTTTAATCTAAAGAGGTCAGTGCAGGCCTGAAGAGAAACAAAGCTGGGTTAGTTTATTGTGCTGCAATATATTTGCTATATATTCTTCTGCCCACAGAACCAGGAGCAGAAATCTGCAAAAATCAATCTTGCATGCTTCAGTCATTTTGGCTTTAGCACATGGAGAGAGCACAAGGTTTGTCACATCAAAGCCAGCAGGCAGTGAGGGCAGAATACATTTTGTTTATCTGAATTAAGCTCTTACCGTGACAGTAAAACAAAGGAGAAAAATCATTATGGCCTCATTAGCTGGTGGGATCAGCTTGTAGCATCAATAGCAGTGTGATTCAGTGCAGGGCTTCTTGTGGGTGCTTTGAAAGGAGCATGAAGAAGCAGTAATTAAGAAGCATGAGGAGCAAGGAGGAGGAATAGGAGCATGAAGAATGAGAGACAAATGGTGCAAAATCTAAATATACAAGAGCTAACTGAAGACACTGTCTGAGGGACTGCGTCAGTGGAGTTACTTTGGAAATTAAGTGGAGTAAGGAGTAGTTGGGTGTGATGTCTGTGGATCGTTACAGAGCAGCACGGAAAAAGTGCTGCAGATGAATGATTTTAAAAGCCGTTAGAACAAAGTTGTACAAGCTGATGGATAATAAGCTCAATCTTACAATTCCCCAAACAAGCTGATTAGCATAAAAATAATGAAAAGTAGCTTTCCACTATAAAGAAAAGTTAGTGAGCACATGGAAGAACATCATCTTTCTTTTCCTTCCAGAGTAAAGTGCTCTGCATCTAGCAGCACAGTATTAAGCTTAAAGAAGCCTAATAAGGCCTGGTGGTAGGCAGCAATGAAGTGGCTGTATCCCATTTTCTGTATCTGCTTTTCTTTAAGCTGCAGTGATTATTCTTTATACTTCCAGTTGGCTTTAGCCACATAATATACATGCAGTTTTCTTTTGTCTGTGAATGTGGACCAGCTGTCCTCTGTGAGAGTTAACTTTCATGCCATGCACTGGTTTAAAGTTAGGAAAAAAAGAGATCTCTGTATGGATCACAAAACAGGTTGGTTACACTGTTGGTGCTGACAAGGCAGTATTGCAGAAATTAGCAAGGAATAGATGTTGCTTCAAAAACAAGTTTGCTTCCAGTAATACAGGTGAACACAATATAGAAACAATAGACAATTAATCTTAATGCTTGATTTGCTCAGATGTCTCTAGCAATGTGGAGTTCATGCTTTCTGTATTGCTTTCTAATCTACTCTGTGAGGTGTTTTATTCAGTACTTCTAACCATCATGTCTGAGCACCTACCAACAGCACATTAAAGATTTATCACTTGTTCCATATTGCATTTAAATACATATTTTCTCTTCACTGAGACCTAACTGAGAAAAATGACAACTATAGTTTCTGTTGTGGGGCTACTGCAGATATGTGGAGCATCAGGTTTGTTTGTTTGTTTTTGTGCTTTCCAACAAAATAGGGTTTAAAAACAAAGCAGCAGAATAGAGCACTGCTGGCTAGTTTTCAGCCCAGCAACATCTTGTCAAAAAAGCCTGCTACTTATGGCTGAGTGGAAATGATCAGCTCCCTAGGAGAACAGTGCTGTGTGTAAGATAAACCCTTCTCAGGTGGAATGAGACTCAGCCCTCTTGGGTTTTATGTTTCTGCATCTTGGCTGCACTTCAGAGCCACTAAGAAATTGCTCCAATGCAGCTGTAAATGAAGAATGCTTTCTTTATAGACCTAATGTGTTGTCTGAAGAGAAGGGTCTGGTGGTCAGTGAAGAGGGAAGGAACAGACAGAGCAGAAATACATAGGTCTCAAATGAGTAGACTGGGAAAATAAGTTTCTATTTGTTCGTTTGGTGTTTGTTTTAATGAGAGAAAACAGACCTAGTATCCTGGGAATCTTTTGTTTTTCATCAGGCACATCCAGAGATGAGATATTTGCACGTTGCTAAGACTTCATAACATCAAGGTCAGGCTGATTTCACACTGTCATCTGCATGTGCCAGAGAACCCTGGCAGACAGGCAGCCTCCCAGGAGAGCTGTCACAGCCTGTGCTGCTCCACTGCCCTGGGACCTGTGGGGCACATGCACTGACTGTGCTGAATGTGGCCAGGATTTCCCTTTTAGTCTCTCTGCTGTTTGGTACCCAAAGCCCTGAGACTTTCTGCAGCTGTGGTGAACTCGTGTTTTTTGACTTTTGCCTTAAGATAGTTTTCTCAAATCTGTAATCTCGCACATTGGCAGGTGTTGTACAGAACCATGTTGCACCTTGAGAGGCAGCAGGGAGAGAGAGGAAGCTGCAGTGCATGGGCAGATCTCTTCTGTGGGGTTTTGTAATGGCCATGCTAGTATGTGATAGCAAACTAAGTTCCTAAAGATGCAGAGGAATGCTTGGATGGCTTCAGGCAAAGAGAACTGTTTGCGAAGTACACGCAGGCACATTTCCCCCCTGTGAAATAAGTGGGGCCTGACAATGAAGAGAAGGGGGAGAGTCCGTCCATTCCTATGAATCTGAGTGGTAGCAGAAGGGTGGTTGGGTCAGAACAGTTTTTGTGTTGTTCCTAAGCTGCTTTTTGCTCCTGTGATGGACAAGGTGCCTTGTTTTCTACCCAGGTTCAGCTCTCTCCAGGCACAAGGCACTTGTGTTGGGAATGAGCAAAGCTTGGGAATTCTGCTGATGGACTGGATTATTGATCTGAGTGAAGGCAGTGGTACATGTGCTCATCTGCTTCATCCCTTTGGTTCCCTGCTCCAGAAAGCTCAAATCCTGGGGGCTGGTTCTCAGTGAACAGATCAGATTGTGAGAGAGGGCTCAGTCCTGCTCATAGCTGTCAGTGCAGGCAGACCTCAGAGCAAGCTGTGCAGGGACTGCTCACTGGTTTCTCTGAGGCAAGGACCAACTGGAGCTTCATTGCACCTGATTTTTAAAGTTGATAGGAAAGAAAAATGTACAGAATGCTTCTACCCTGGCAGCTGGTAGAATGCTTCTACCTCAGCAATAAGACGTGTTTATAACTCAACCATTGAAACAATAAACTGCATGCTATTTCCCTCCTAAAATTTATAATCAAATCTGGTGCTGTTTAACAGAATCAGTAGAAAACAGAGGAATGTAGCCAAACTGGGCCCAAAATGGTTTTCCCTGCTCTGCAGGTAGGTGACAGCTTTCCATTTTCTCCTGGAGGAGTAGTTGAGTTTCTTTTCTGCTGCATTCAGCTGCATGTAGGTCAAGAGTAAATGAAACCAGGCCCAGCTTTAAACCTATTTCCTTGCAGGCAGTGTAGTAAGTGTTCTACCATGCCTCTCTTGCTCTTTGAGTAACGATCGGGCTGATTTAGGGATTAAGTCCTAATCGTTAAATACCACTAACGTGTCTGCCATTTGCTTAGGTGCTGTATCAGGAAAACAGATGCTCCACGGCAGCATTTCAAGGCGTGATGTAATTTGCAGCCAGCTCTGCGTGTGCATGCCATAAGCATAACGGCTGC